TGTTTGGAAGTCGATCTCATGTCGAGTCACCAAAACTATATCAGAAACTTGAATATGTATACCGGGTCTGTTTCAAGTTGTTTAATGGTGATAGACACGACATGGTCGTCAGGTCCTGTTTTTTCCTCGATCACGTGTTTCACCTAGCAACACCCAAAGTTCTATATATACATTCACGCGACAGAACACGAGAACATAACACTCTTGTCGAATTCAGACATGGATCCGAGGACAGCTTTCTCTTGCTGTGCTCTGCTCCTCATCACACTGTTGCCTCTTTCAGCAAATGCCTCGAGCAAAGTAAGATATACTTCCTCCCTTTGAGGGAAAATATAATCCCTCTTTGTTCACAAGACTTCAACTTTTGTTTTGTTTGTGCATAACTCGGCTTGTTCTGAACTTTCTTTTTTCGCAACTTCCCGCATGTTAATTTCAGCTCTACATAGTGTACATGGGGGAGAAGAAACATGACGATCCATCTGCTGTCACCGCGTCGCACCATGACATACTAGCCTCAGTATTTGGGAGGTACGAACTAGCTGGTAATTCATGTTACTACATATTATCACCATGCGACAGAAGTGATTGCTAAACATTGTGTCTTGTCTGCAACAGCAAGGATGAATCCTTGAAGTCAATAGTTTACAGTTACAAGCACGGATTCTCTGGATTCGCGGCAATGCTCACCGGAACCCAAGCTGAGATGTTGGCAAGTAAGTGATAACCAATCCAAGATGGCATCAGCATTTGATGCCTTCATATGTTGCTGGCATGATCGAATGAAACTAATTAATATGGATGTTGCAAATGTAGAGTTTCCTGAAGTTATAAGTGTGAAACCTAACACTTATCATGAGGCACAAACAACTCGAAGCTGGGACTTCCTTGGCCTTGGCCTCAACAAATTACCACAACAAACTGACCTGCTTCGGAAAGCAAATTACGGTGAAGATATCATCATCGGGGTGATCGATTCAGGTTTGTCATGAAATTTCTAGATTAAATTCAGAATTTGTGAAAACCAAAGCCAAGCGTTAGAAATGGACATAGGTTGACTCCGTCGGTCCACGCATGTCTTTGTCGCAGGCATATGGCCTGAATCACTAAGCTTTGACGACAACGGATACAGCCCCGTTCCGGCACGGTGGAAAGGCATATACCAGGTTGGGCAGACATTCAATGCAACAAGCTGCAACAGAAAGATCATCGGCGCACGGTGGTACTCGAATGGAGGTGACCCCGAGAATCTCAAGGGCGAGTACATGTTGCCTCGGGACTTCCACGGCCATGGCACACACGTCGCCTCGACGATCGCCGGTAGAGAAGTCCAGGGTGTGAGCTATGGTGGCCTAGCCACTGGCATGGCCCGTGGCGGAGTACCACGTGCACGGCTAGCAATCTACAAGGCGTTATGGGGGCCGCGGATAAGGGGTAGTGAAGCCATGATCCTCGCGGCCATCGACGATGCCATACACGATGGTGTGGATGTCATGTCGCTCTCACTTGGGGGTGCTGGTCACGAGTTTCCCGGGACACTGCACGCTGTCTTGAGAGGAATCTCAGTTGTCTTTTCTGCCGGGAATGATGGCCCGGCACCACAAACGGTGACCAATGCTGTGCCATGGGTGACGACAGTGGCAGCTAGCACGATCGACCGTGCCTTCCCAACCTTAATATCTCTTGGAAACAAAAAAAAGCTTGTGGTACGTACAAACGATCGATATGCAAGTACTTGTTCTGATATTTTTTTGATAATATTAAAGCATAGAAAATGCATCATCAAATACGATCGCTTTCAAGGATAGAAACATCATTGCATATGCTAGGTACAAATTAAATAACAAACTGTTTTATAGTTGAGATAACACATAGTTGAGTGGCCATGATTTTATATCGGTATAGGTTTTACAAAGTCAATTATGATACGTCAGGTGTTGAACAAGCGTGTGTGGAAACATAATCGTATATATTTTTACAAATCAACTTGACTCGGCTCAAATGCATGCAGAAAAATAATTTCCTACCGACTTTGTTATCAGTTAGCTTTCCTTAATGTACTCTTTTATCCTCTCGAGGAAAACTTATGATCTGATGTGTCTTCGATCTTAAACACAGGGACAATCTCTTTACTACAACTCAACTCTGAACAACGGTGACTTTAAGGAGCTTGTTCATGCGGGAAGGTAGCGACATAACACACTCAATCAATATGTTAGATTTTTATAGTTCCATTGTTTATCGAACCATATTCACTTCAACTTTTGTGCAGCTGCACTGCGGAGTGGTTGGCATCAAGCAACGTGACCAGCAAGATCGTCCTGTGCTACGCACCGGGGTTGGCGCCCAGCGTGCTGCTTCGGGTAGATCTGCCCCTCACCATCAACCGTAGCATGGGCGCCGGAGCCAAGGGCCTCATCTTCGCGCAGTACGCCACGAACCTCCTGCCAGCATGCAAGGGCAGCATGCCCTGTGTTGTAGTAGACTACGAAACCGCACAGAGAATTGAGTCATACGTGGCGATCGCAGAGTAAGAACATGTCGCGTTGCCGGAAACAGGAGGAATACGTTTTCTTTCTCCCGGAACTAATTTGTGCATGTCATTTGTCATGATAGGAGTCCAATCGTGAAGATATTACCTGCCATGACCGTTGTCGGAGACACAGTGTTTTCACCAAGGGTCGCTGCATTCTCGTCCAGAGGCCCTAGCCCCCTGTATCCAGGCATACTCAAGGTACTTCAAGTGTGAACTTCTTAACTCAAAGTCAGAATAGTTGCACTTGCAGTGTCCCTTTTGTTTTTGCGCTGCGGTGCTTTTAACTAGCCTATCTTACTCTCCAGAATTAATACTTTTGTCTCTATGGATATTTGCACAACCCGACATAACTGCACCAGGCGTCAACATCTTAGCAGCTGTGCGTGACTTCTATGTGTTCCTATCAAGTACATCCATGGCATGCCCACATGTCTCAGCGGTGACTGCTCTGCTTAAATCGGTTCACCCTGACTGGTCGCCTGCTATGATCAAGTCCGCAATCATCACCACAGGTATGCACAATGTGTATATGGAAAGTTCTTTCAACTATTTTATGTTATACCAATAACTTATTTCTTGGTGATGATTCTAGCGCCAGTGACCGATCGTTTCAGCGTGCCGATCGAAGCAGAGGCGGTCCCGAAGAAGGTGGCTGATCCCTTCGACTTCGGTGGTGGTCACATGGATCCAGACAAAGCCACTGACCCAGGCTTGGTTTACGACGTGGATGCAAGAGAGTACAACAAGTTTTTTAATTGCACCGTTGGGTTGTTACATGGCTGCGAGTCTTACCAACTCAACCTCAATCTCCCGTCAATCGTTGTTCCAAACCTCAAGGACCATGTCACGGTTATGCGCACTGTGACAAATGTGGGGGCAGTTGGAACAACTTATCATGCAGTGCTTGAAGCTCCAGTAGGGGTTGTCATGTCCATGGAACCATCAACGATCACATTCGCTAAAGATAGTAGCAGAAGTGCATCATTTAGGGTTTATTTACTACAAAGCGGAGAGTGCAAGGTGGATTTACCTTTGGTAGTTTGACATGGTCAGATGGAGGTACCCACGTCAGGATTCCAGTCGCAGTAAGGAATGTGATAGAAGACTTTGTTGCAGATACATCCTAAATTTATCGGTGTATGGTATATGGTTATTCATGCAGTAATGTATTTGGCATACAAAAATATTAATAAAACACCAAAAAAAAATCCTATTGTTACAATAGTAGGAAACGAACATGGTGGTCCATGATTAATGAGATGTGTTGATCCTTTTGTATGACTATACTAGAATCCTTGGGTGGTGGCTCGCCATGTGTCCAAGAGAGGACATTCTGTGCCAACTTCTAACACTACAGGAAAACATATGTTGCCTTTTGTTTCGTCATAATTAGAGTGTAATTTGTCGGCCACTTGGCTTACATCAGTGTAAGCCGAGAGCCAACTCTAAAATACACAACACATAAAAGCCCCTCGGCTTACACCACAATATAGCGGGAAGAGCTTGGAAAACACTCACCTTAAACTAGGATCTCTGCATAAACCATGACAAGCACTCGGCTTATATAGTATGCTCAGCAAACTACCCTGCCATGTGGCCTTCCTCCATGCAGTTGACGGCTCCGTCATGGTGGGTGGTATATGCCGGGTGCACTCTAACAGAGGACTCAACTTAAATATTTCCTTTAACAAAAAATGTGAAACCCTTTGTCTCCTGTAAGCTAAGTGGCCGACAGGAAACACTCGTCTTATGTCTGGATATTTTTGAATTGGCACACGCGTCCCCTTCGTCTCCCTGTTGTTAAAGCACGGGCTGCAGCGCAAGGGCTATGAAACCATGAAGCTGCCTCACCCTTGCCACTTGCCCTTTTACACCTCACTCATGCCGCATGCGGAGCTCACCGCCACTCAGACGGCCTCTGCGGCCGAGATTTTTCATACCCTACCACCTCAATGTCGTCCTCCACCACCTCGGTGTTGTCCTCCACCACCTTGCCGCCAGGCTCCACCACTTCGACATCGTCCTCCACCAGCAACCCCGACGCCAGCCACACCCCACCAACTTGACATTGGCCTTCAAAACCCCCCACCTAGGTGAGCAATTCTACTCAATTTATTTGCCTTTTTTTTTCTATTTGTCACTATTTTTATATGTATGGAAGTGATATGGATATATATGGTGCATGATATATGGATCCTAGCTAGGTTAGTATGGATGATATGGGTGGAAATAGATATGGATCCTAGCTAGCTAGGTGTTTAGGATTTTGATGATATGAATGTTTTATCTTTTTTCCTTTATAAATTATTATGTATGGATGAGTTTGACAGGATATATATATGTGTGAATTCTTTGTATAATTGAGAGTGTGAGAGGAGAGGAGAGAATAGGATATAGGCATTTTAATTTGTATAGATATATAGGTCAATTGATGTGTATGTAGTAGATTTTAACAATATATAGGGCAGAAAATCTTGTTTGCGTCTTATTGAGTCTTATGTTTGAATAGAAAAGTTATTGCTTAAATTGTATCTGCTTCATTGTTGAACTAATGAAAATACCAAAACTATTTTCATCGCATTCTCTTCTTTTGTACAGTTGTCAGCAGTTTTCAACTTTAGTCACGGCGACACATGCACTATATTATTATTATACGTGATATTCAAGTTGTGCAAGTGACAACACAATAATGACGAAATTTGGTGAAGTGGCTGCGGTGGAGAAAGCTGGTATGATCATATTTTGTTTTGTTTATGTATTGATGATTAACTTCATGCTTAGTTTTGAAGTGTTTTATGATAGTCATCTTATGCATAATGAGCCTTTAGTGATTCATGCTTTCTCATGCTGAGTTTCAATTAACTAGGTGCAAATGAATAATTTTGGATGTTAACATGCATTGAAGTGTGGTATTATGTGGCATGTCAACATGGTATTCTCTCTGAAGTAATCAAGTGGCTTGACTTGGGACATGATTGATCAATTCCATTTCAGCCTCGAAGGTGTTACACATGTAGAATATAATACCATATCCATGTTACTGTGTAATGTTTGCTTATTCAGAATGCATGATTATGATGAATATACTCTCTAGTTGGTCGCTTCCCAGTCTATTGCTAACCTTCACCTGTATTAAGTGAGAACCCTGCTTGTACACTAAAAGTCAGATCCAAAGTTTGTGTCATAAAGAGTCCATTATATCTACCTATCATGGCTTGAAAAATTCATTCCAAGTAAATTTTTATTGCCTCGCCCCTATTTTGTTGTCTAACTTTGGGGGGGGGGGGAGGGAATGAGTAGTTTTCTATTCTTCTAGTAATGGCTGCAACCAAACAAATTGTTTCTATTAAAAAATCTCCAAGAATCCCAAAGAAAAAGGGAATCAAATGAATAAAGTTTAAAGTGTAAATTCTGAAAAGTAGCCATTATAAGAAGAATGGGGATAAACATATCTTCCCATTCTCCAAACTCTGAAAAAAACCTTCCAAAGTACGACATCACGAGTTTACCAGTTTTCTAAATTAAGCGCATGACAATATCTGCATCGCCCTCCATAGGGCCTATATATTTAAGTTTATGTTTTGTCATCACCTTACCAAAGGAGGGAGTTCAGTGTTGTTGTAGGGAAGGACAAGACCAGTCAGGCGGAGGTTGTCGCTCCGCGTGGTTAAGTGTTTCATCTTCTCTGTGAACTCAGCCATGTCAAGCTCGTTGGGATTGACATGGGTTGGGTCATCATTTCCTGATAGACCCACACCGGCCTCACTTGAGATTGAAGTTTCTGGATCCAATGGATCGCCCAAGCGGCCACCAGATCATTTCGAATGAGCCCTTTTGTTGGCGTTCTGGGAACGGGGGTTCCCAGACTTGCATGCCTGTGGCCCACGGCGTGGCTGGGCTGGCAGGTTCGTACGGCCCATCTTCATCGATAAGACATTCAAGACCCTCGCGAGGGGCCAAGCCTCGCGAGGCGGACAACACAAGACCTCATCAAGAGCGGCCTCGCCAGGCAGGCTCATGAGGGGCGAAGAGATCAAGGCAAGGAAAACCTTGCGAGGCCCCTCGTGATGTGAGCCATGATGACCGAGACCAGGCGGGCGCCAGCGCGCGCAACGTCCTTGTTTCCTCTTTGGTGCTAAGGGGGAAAGCGCAGGCGCGGAGTACCGAGGCATCAAGCAAAGGTTTCCATATTGGTGCAACGAGACCAGAACCAGAAGGACGGCAAGATGGAGGTCACCATGGAGCCCAAGATGGTGTCATCACCAGAGCCTTTTGCAGGCGAAGACCACCTTTTGTCAGGATAACTTGTACTAGCTGTCCCCTTTCGAATTGGCCGTTGTTGGCATCTCTTTCCGCTCAATATTTGGGGAGAGGACCAGGGCCTATATAAGTAGAACTAGCCACCACCATGAGGGGCATCGGATCGACACCATCACAAGTCGGCAACTGATTTCGATCTTCACACACACAAGCTCATCAAACACAAGAACACCTCGACCTCAGGAGGCTGTTCTTCCTCTTGTACTGTTCATCATTAGCCCAAAAGGCAATCCACCACCACCACATTGGAGTAGGGTATTACACCACAACGGTGGCCCGAACCAGTATAAATCTTGTGTCTTCCTGTGTTGAGAGTTCGTCATGTTCGTCCACAAGATCTCAGAGAGCCAGGGCGTGGATTAATAGGGAGAAAATCTTCGCACGCATCCCAGTGTTCGAACCTCAAGGGTCTGCCAGAACCCTAGATCCGACATTTGGCGCGCCAGGTAGGGGTGCGTCGTAGCTTCTCGTCTGTCGATCTGCGCTCCGTCGACACCATGCTACGCCCACATGGCAGGAGCCCCGCCGCCGACTCCGACGGCTAGCGTAGACGACGGGGCCATGGGGCTCCGAGCCCTGGCCCCCGCCCTGCGATGGGTGCAGTGGCTGCCCAAGTTCAAGCCGGAGATGCCGCCGCGTTACGGCGGTGCGGCGGATCCGTCAGCCTTCCTGCTGGTGTATGAGGAGGCCATCCTCGAAGCCGGGGGTGATGACAAGGTCATGGCCAACTGGCTTCCCATGGCCCTCGCCAGTGAGCCGCGCGCCTGGCTGCTCAACCTTCCCGGGTCCACGGTGGTGTCTTGGAAGGAGCTCCGCGGTCTCTTCACTACGCGCTACGCTGCATCGGCGCACCATGCGGTTGTGGCCCTGTTAGGCGGCTCACATGCGCCTCCCTCAGAGCGCCACATCAAGTCGTTCCTTCGCCAAATCGGTGCCACTTCCACGCGCTCGGGGCCTCCGCCGGGCTGGGCCGCGCCTGAGGCTGATCTCACCTTCAGCTCGGAAGACCACCCCATCACCACCACCGGCTCGGGCATGCTTCCGATGCTCTGCA